ATCCCATCGGTTTTTTGTTATTTTATAATTTAATAACTAATTGGTATCGCGAGCCGTAATGGCTACGACTCTTTAAAAAAATCTCCAAAGCTAATGATTAAAAAAAAAAGGATCCCCATACACTTTTTATCCCAACCACTAGCCCACAATACTCCAGAAAAAAAATATATCTCTTACTCAAATCCGGCTCTTACCAATATTCCCAAAATAGGAAAAAAAAATCTGTAAATCCCTCTGAACCCATTCAACCCTTTTTTTCAAATAAAAAAAAAAGCCCAACCACATTTTGTTCGCTTCAAATCAATTATATTTCCGCCTGTATTCTCACCGGTCCCCAAAACCGAACTAGTAGCCAAAATAAAAATAAAAACACTCCTAGATACGAATAAATTGACGGAAGGCATGCGAATGAGAAAAATGTGAAAAATTGGGGTTTTATCGAGGAGACTCTATGTCCCGTTATACCCATGAATATATGCGTTATAAGCAACCGCACTCGTAGTTTTCATATTTCACACCCCAATGGATCGTATCTGGAAATGCTACTGGCCAATTGGAAAGCCGGATTTATCGCTAACTCACCCCCTCGTCAACGATATCGTCGCAATATCTATCCAAATTGAAAACAATATCGACGGTATCATCCCTTTTCACTTTCAATCCCTTCTCTCCGCGGTCTTTTTTATTTTCTCCTATCGGTGGTTTGTTTGCCTATTGTCACAGCTGCAGATATATATTCCGGACAAATACTCACCGCTGGAAAAATTTTTATCAGCGGTAATGAACCCCCAACCCTTTTTTTGGCTTTATGAATAATTAAAGTCTTTATGATCTTTATTTGCATTACGGTAATTATGCGCTTTATCTTTATTTCATTTTTTTTATAACGGCAAAAAATCATAAATGAGGCGGGGGGTGGTGCTTGATTTTTACGACCTGCCGAGAGTTTTTAGCGTTTCGATAATTTCGGTTTGATGAATCATTCATTTTTGGTGATGAATAATTAGAAAGGAATTTTGTGGAACATTTCGTTTTTGGGGATGGTAGAGTATCAAGTTAAAATTCATAGAAATATATTGACCTGGTTTATGATGATTACAAAAATTAATCGATATGAAGGGCTCCACGAAGTTGCCTTAGAGTTTGTATAAACATAAACAATAGTTTGTAGGGTTCTTTCTTTGTTGACGAATGTTGTTATGGTCTTTGTGGCTAGTATTTAGTCGCTTGGAAATATTGATAGAGTTCAGACCGTATTTTTCCTCCTGCGATTTTAATAAAGAAATAGTGATTAGAGTTCATTAATTGTTTTTTAATTAATTTAACTATCCCATTTCCAATAAGGGACAAATAGGAAAGTCGCATTTTTTTTTTTGCAAATATATCCTTCCCCGAACAGATATTGCTATTTTTTTTATTTGTCTTCAAAAATTGAATTTTTTAAATGCGCTAAAAGCGCTTATGACGTCAACACCGGAATCTGAAATTTTCATGTGGTACCAGCAGATGATTGGTG